TACAGTTTTAAACATGTAAAATATAAAAGTATTCAACAAAGACATATATGTCAAAAATAAAGAAATTTATTATTGTAGGGAGTCTTTTGTATTAAAAAAAATCAAGAAATTACAACAAATATAAAATTACAATAAACAAAATAATAACCTACTACACTTGCTAAATGCAGATTGCTTCAAAAGCTAGCAAACTAGGGGTGTAACCAAGAATTGTTTTTAGGCTGCGGTATAATTTTATTTTTTCTGGCAAACCTCAAGGGGTCCATTTGGTTTAGGGTCATATGAGATTACTGAGTGTAATCTTTGTTTAATTTTCAAGATTCTCTTGCTTGATTTGCAAGTAATAAGATATTACCGATATCTTTTATCAAAAATAGTGTTTACTGTTGGTAATATAGAGAGTAATAAGATTACCACCCAGGTGTTGTTAAAAGATTACTGAGGTAATCTAATTCTATTACCTGTTTTGCCCTTAATTAAATACCATTTCGAACACAATTTCCTTCAAATGTCTACCATAACCAATTACCCAAACCCCTACATTTAAGAATTTAACTAAAACTCCCCAGCCACAAAAAATTTTAAAAGTTAACAAAATACCCCCAACCACCTAAGACCACCGCCAACCGTTGACAGCAATCGTCGTAATGGTGCATAACCATCGGAATCTGGCCGGTTGTGCGCCGATAAGGCCGTTTTTGGCCATGGATCACAGATCCATGGGCAGAAACGGCCACAGATCTGACCATGAAACAGCCACAGATCTGGCCGTTTCAATAGAAACAGCCAAATTTGGCCATTTTTGCCCATGCATCATAGATCCATTGCCGAAAACGACCTTACTGGCACACAACCGACCAGATTCCGCCGGTCGTGCGCCATTACGGCAACTACCAATGGTGGTGGCTTGTTGTCGGTAATGGCTTGGGGTGGGTGAGAGTGATTTTGGTACAAATTAAAGTTTTATATGGCTGAGGTATTTTAGCAAAATTTCAAATGTAGGAGGCAAAAGAAATTATTCAAAAATTAATAATAAAAATAATATTACATTGATATTTAAAAAGGGAGGGCAATTTAGTAACTATATAACATATCCACCCATTTATCATCTCAACCAAACATATTATTATAACATACTCACTAATTTATTCCAACCAACCAATCATATTTTCCTAAATATTCTCAATAATCTTTAAGGTAATCTATCTTTCCATTAATATAACATTCCCTATAATAAAACATTATATGAACCAAAGACGCCCAAAGATTCAAAGAAATTTCATTAATAGAAAAAGTATATAATGGCAGTAAGAGGCAGCATAATCAAACTTACCCATCAAATTTTATATAAAAAGGACAAGCAAAGTTATAAGTAGACATGTAATGCAAATACAACAAAATACTTTTGAAGTTATACCTAAATAGATTATTTTTTCTGATTTGAGTGATTATTTGTTTGACATTATCAACTACAATAATAAAATATAAGAAAATCAAATATTACTTCTTATCTTATAAATAAAAAATTAAAAAAAAATATACCTAAACTAATTGGAAAAGAAACTTAAAACAATTAATTCAATCTAAACTAATTTTCACCAATTTATTTCACAAGCATTTAATTATCAAAATTGTCTAAACACATCTCAATATAATAAATCATCAATTGAAGAAAATATAATAACTTTGTATCTCAAATATAAGAAAATCAAACAATATTTCATATCTCAAAAACAAAAACAAAAAATTCAATTCAAAACAAATATATAATAAACTTAAAACATTACTCAAATATTATTGAAATTTGAACAATTATCTTAAAGTTCAAGCTATTTGGTCTTTCAGAAAGGAAATTAATACAATACAAAAATCAAAATTGACTTTTATGTGACAAATTCTTTTTAGAGTTAAGAGAGAGAGAATAAGGAGAAAAGAGGAAAAAAATCAGGTAGAAAGTGAAAGAAAGATCAAAGAAAACTGAAGGGTTATACTGCAATTAACTTTTTACAATATTTTAGGACATATATAAAATAAATTATAACTGTAAGGGGTATTTTAAAACTTTGGAAAAAAAATTCAAAAATCTAACGCGATCTACCCAATTAATTGTTTGAAATGAATTCCGAAATATAAGATATGAAATTAAGACTTAAGAGGTGTCATCGCGGCGTCAACCATTTATAAGCATTTAATTCTTGATAATAAAGCTAACCTCATAATGGAGGTTGTTTCTTGTCAATAATTTAATTATTGGACCGAAACGTAGGTGGCTGTTTGTGGTTATGTAAAGGAAGTATTTGATATATTATTAATGGTAGCAAGTAGAACATTTAAGCTACTGCCATGCACTGGAGACATTAAGGCTCATGGCCCTACTTTTAAAACTCAACCACTTTTGATCTCTTTTTTTTTTTCTTAATTTCTCTTTACATTGCAAAAGAATATATTTATATTCATTCTCTTCTCATATATTATAACATTCCAATCATATACGCGTATTGTATTATATGTGAACAAATAATTTTGATAAGACCCTGATGACAGGCTTACAAAGATGGACAACTTACGCAGTAAGGGAAAATAAGGTTCACAATTCGAGAGTTTGTGGAAGTAATGGGAAGAAGATGAGTTTGAATTAAATGAACCTGATTATGATAATTGAGGGTCATAATGTTAGAGTTAGTGGAAGCAGTAGGGAACAGAAGAGTGTAAATTATGTTGAACCCTTGTATGTCTTGACGTGTCAAAACCAATCAAAAGAATATTTAAGAATTAACAATATGCAAGGGTATGATTTAAGTTGTTGAAGTGGAAGCCTGAGAACAGTATCGTTTTGAGTAAGTAGAACGACGTCGTTTCATACAAGCTATCAGATGAATCCTGACCGCAGATTACTCTTCAGATCCAACGGCCAAAATCCTGCCACCAAGTCAACCATATATAAGCTCAACTTTTTCGTTCTAAAGAGGAAGAATCATTGTTGTCTTCTTTGCGTGATTGAGGAGTTAGGGTTTGTAAAAGGGTTTTCACTATTGCTTTGTGTAATCGGTTAGATTAGAGTGATTACGGGTTTAATCATTCTGGTGAGGGTGTTGTTCTCTCGGGTTAGAGTTACCAAGTGAGTTTCTCTAAGGGCTAATTACGGGATATTTTGTATCAGGGTGAGTGATTCTATGTTGGTTGGTTTTGAGGTGTTGGAATCGTGATTCTTGAGGTAATAGTAAGTGCAGCGAGCTCATCTCTTTCTCGAGCTCAACATGGGTGTAGCTTATCCTATAAAGATAAGTGAACCACGGTAAATCTCCGTGTTCTTGCTCTTCTTGATTTTGATTGTGTGTTTGATTGATCTTTGAAGAATCCTTTAGGTTACATAACAGTGGTATCAGAGCCATTTCTTGGAGTCTAGATTTGTTGATTACAGAATCAGTGTCCCGACAGAAGAGGTTTCGTGAAATTTGGGGATTTTCTAAGATTGGCTTCTCTGAGTCTTTGAATAGATCTAAGGTGGCGGGATTTGAGTGAGATTAGTTAATCTTGACAAATCTTGGGTAAAATCTAGGTTTCCAGAAATCATATAAAGGTTAGGGCAAAAGGATCTAGGGTTTACAATTTGGGGCTTTCTAAAATTAACCCTAAAATGAACACTACTACCACCATACGATTAGAAATAAATCAACACGATGGGAAGATTGATTTCGGAAGTTGGAAGAAGAAGATGAAAGCCCTCCTTTCACACAACAAAGTAGCAATCGTACAGGAAAAGGACCCCAAGAAGTGGTCAGAGGACAAGTTAAAGAAGAAGAAAGAGATTGATGAAGAAGCCTACAACCTGATCGTGATGAACCTCTCGGATAGTGTGCTTCAAAAGATAGATAGATTCGAAACTCCTCTTGGACTATGGGGTAAGTTAGAATATATGTTTTGCAGTCTGCACCGAATTTGGCTTTCTTAAGGGAGCCTTATTTTCGTGTAAAATGGATAATTCAAAATCAATTGAAGAAAACTTGGATGAGTTCTTAAAGATGAATCTGATCTTGAAAGGCACATACCAAGAGTTAGGAGGAACAAGCCTTGCCATGATACTGTTCAACTCACTAACGGATGACTACCAAGTAGTCAAGAATGACCTACAGTACTCAGGTATTGTACCCAGTGTAGATTTGATTATTGCTGGTCTTAAGGCCAAGGAGTTAGAGCTTAAAACCCTTAAGAGAAACAACAGTACTCCGTTTGTAAAGGGTAGATTAGAAACTAGCCAATTTAGTAAAGGAAACTAGCTTAGTCAAGGGGGTAAGAATAAATACTTGTATTCCCATTTTTTCTTCTAAAAGAAAAAAAAAAAATTGTTTTAAGTCATTAATTATACCTTCACTATTATCGTGCCTCAAAACACAATTTAAATATTCAATTTTTTTTTTTTCAAATTAAAAACACAATCCAAACCTATTAACGTAATAGAATTGAATTGATATCAATATGTTTACTTATAATTTACGAAAACAATAAATTTATATATAATTAAGAAACAATAAAATATAACATGAATATTAAAAAAAAGAATGAGAAGTAATTGAAAACTCATAATTTTACATGGTTATACATAAAAAACTTTTCTCCCCATTAAAGTATCATTTTCTTTTAAAATTATTCTAATTTTATCACAAAATCATATTTGAATAATATTTAAATTAATATATAAAAATTATATTTTGTGTCATAAAAGTAGTGCATCAAGAAATATTTATAAAGAGCAAGAAAATTAAACTAAATTTAATAATTTAATAAACAAATAAATTGTGATTATAAAATTATTAAAAATTAATTCTAGAACCACTTATTTAGGTATTCACTTTTCGTTTATCTAACAATTATAAATTTTATCCAAAAAAGGTATTTTTTTTGTGTAAACATTGTATATCCCAATATCGCAGAGGAGAAATTGCCCAAATTTGACGCATACACAAACATATATATGCAAAAGCTATGCATTTCGTTCCACAAGATAGAGCTATTTACACAAACTGTTACCAAAATCCTGGATTTTCTCTCACAAAAATCCATTTTTACAACAAAGATAAAAAAATTTCAGCGACTGAAATTTATAATACATAAACATCATTCAAAGTTCAAACCCAAGTGCCTTGAAAAAGTGCACTAGTTGATGCTGTCTCTCCAAAAGTCTTCACCAAATCCGAACAATATTCATTTGCTTCCCCTTCTTCTGTCTCCAGTTCCAGTTCCAATCCCAATTCCTCTTCTATATCGTCAGATGCTGCTATCAGCAAGAATTCACACCCCTCATAGTTCAAAAAATCCGGTGGGTCAGCCGGGAAATATCGCTTTTGCCCGAACCGGCCTTGCAGATGGGCAGGAAAGACGGCCCTGCGCTTGTTTTGCAGCCCTCTAAACTGTGAACTGCCATGCTGATCCGGGTTCTTTATTTGTATGAGAAATGAGCCTTCACGTTCAATGTTAAGGGACTCCTGAGGCTCATTTTGTTTGCTCTCTGGTGGAAATTCAAGCTTGTAGATTAAATGAGTGTGCATTTTTTTTCCTAGACTGTGCCTTAAAATGCGGTAAACGCCTTCTCCCACGGCCCTGGCTGGTTGATTTTTTCGATGACCTTTAGTTGAAGTATCATACTCCTCTGTATGCCAATACATTATTAGAAAGGGTTAATAACAATACTCCTCTCAGATATAATTAAATAACAAAACTCTGTCTGTTATAACAAAAATTCCCCTGTTAGTGTTCAAATAACAGCTATAGATAATTACTAACAGTTGTGAGATTTATGTTATTTTTTAAATCTGTTATTTGATTGGTAAAAATTGAATTCAAAGTTCAGTCGAGTTCAAAACCGCAGAAAAAATAAATTTATCAAGGAATTAATATTGAGAAACTAACAAATTAAGTGATATTCAGTACCTCCTGCTAGAGCAGTTTTCACATCCTCAATTTTTGCGGTAACAATCTCAACAAAACCCCAGTAAGGCCTGGATTTCTGGCTTGGATCCGGAAGACTTTTCCGTCCCATCACAATGAACCGCAACAGTGGTTCCTTCTCGATGTTCACTTCCTGCAATTGATAACAGTTATAGCAATTGTGCAACAATACGCTATTGAAATAAAAAATAAATTAATTTGTATTTTGTTAACCTGGCTACCGTGTCCACCTTGATTTCCTACAGAGCCAGTTTCTCCTTTCTTCAAGCCTTCTTTCCCGGACTCCTGCTCTTGTTTTTCTTCAACACTTTTTTCACCGGACTCCGGCCGCAAGACGAGGTACAATCGTTGCACATCATTTACGCTGTGAGCTTCTTGTTTGTCAACTTTAGGCCTGTAGAAGAAAAATATTTCCCCTCTTTCCTGCAATTAATTTTACATAACCAAACTACATTTTAATTAAAATTTCTTTACTTATATAATAATTTCTTTGTGCTGTACTTGAGAGAGAGAGAGATGAAAAGAGACCTGAATCTCAACTTGAGGTTCAGCTCGTGTCTTGTGTTCTTGGCCTTGTCCCATCTGAGATTGACTGATAATTTCTCTTGGGTCTTTTCCAGGTAAATGGATAAAATTAAAAATAGATAGTTTAATAGTAATATAGTATGCGTTTGGTTTAATATTTTTATCCCTATTCTGGATCCTATTTTTCAAATCGCGTTTGGTACAATATTCTCAAAATATTACCCTATTTTTTTTAATTACATTTTAACCCCATAAGGTTATTAATTTCACTAAATACCCCCTGAAAAAAAAGTTTAAAATTAACAAAAACACCCCCATCAACCCAACTTGTCAGATTCCGGCAACCACCGTCGGTGATAGCCGGAATCTGTACAACGGCCAAACTTCCGACCAGAAATGGCCGGAAGTTCACCGCTGTGGCCTTTTCCGGCCAGATCCACCACGGATCTGGCCGGAAAAGGCCAGATCTGGCCGTCAGCGACGGCCAAAGAAATGGCCGTCGTTGACGGTCAACGACGGCCAAATCTTGGCCGTCGTTGACCGAAAACGACGGCCACATCTTTGGCCGTCGCTGACGGCCAAAGATGGCCGTCGTTTGGCATTTTCCGGCCGTCGACGGCCAAAACAAACGGTAGATCTGGCCTTTTCCGGCCAGATCCACCATGGATCTAGCCGGAAAAGGCCATAACGACGTGTTACGGCACAGATCCGACAAGTCTGTGCCGTAACGAAATTTTCCGGCCAGATTCCGGCGGTGGTGGCCGGAATCTGACAGTGCAGGTGGTGGGGGTGTTTTTGTCATTTTACATGTTAGGGTCTTTAGTTAAATTAGTAAACCTAAGGGCTTTTTTATAAATTTTTAAAATTTACCTCGTAATACTCCCATATCCAATAACCCAATACTACCCCTAAAATCCTATCCAAAATACTAAACCAAACGCACCCATAGATATTTAAATTGAAGAAGACACGTAACACTTCCACAGACCTCTTATAAAGCCACGTTTTCCCATGAAGGAGCCACATTCTTATATTAAAAAGATGCCACACGGCACATGTTAATAGGTAAGCAATAATGCTACAGACATCGAGATTTTTGCATCGAAATATTGTATCGATCTACGTGTAACACGTTTCTAATTTTTTTAATAATTTTTTTCGAGTGAACAGTCATCCATCAAATTTGGATGACCATTCACTCACATGAACGTCCGTCCATATTATATGGACGGGAGTCCATATACCAGGGACAGGTGTCCCCACTTAATGGACGTCCGTCTATAAGTAAAATGAAATAAATTTTTTTTATAAAAATTAGGGACGGGCGTCCGCAAATAAGGGACACCCGTCCTTAACCAAAATATGAAAATAAAAATAAAAAATTGGGGGACAGTTGTCCATAAATTTTGTACGGTCGTCCCTTATGTTTGGACGGACGTCCATTAGGGTGTCCATACTTTTAAAAAAAAAAAAAAAACACCTTCTTCACTCTTCTATTTCTTCTTCTTCTTCTTCTTCGCTCCACTCCATCCTTGTAACACCTTAAATCCATTTTGCAGCAATCCTAATCCTCCCACTGAATTACAGCATAAACAAAACAAAAATAACCTTTAGATCAGAATCAGAAGAAATAATATCCCAAAATTAAATAATGAAGTTAGAAGCAAACCATCCTTAGCATTCGTTACATTGGTAAGTTCCCTACTAAGAGTATAAACTTCCATTGCATTAATGAGAGGAGGAAGAGTGGAGATCATCAGCCTCGAGGGAAATTTGGTTGCTAGCAGAAGCAATTCTGTTAGCAATATAAACTTCAAAGGCAGCTCCAAAAGTCGGAACAATGGAGGCCAAAATAGCCTTGCTATCGATGAACAATTTGAAGGATCTCTTGTGACTGCGGCCGAGCTGAGTTACTTCAGAGAAGTAGGTCGCCATGAAGAAGGGAGTCGGCTTTTCAGTAAGTTTTGTGATTATATTTATCCCTATCAAAGTGCTTAAAGAAGTTACAGCATTTTGTACCACCAATGGTGGAGGATTGTCAGGTGGAGTAGTTACTTTAATGGAGGATGCTTCATTTGAGACTTTTGTTAATCCAAACTCTCATATTACTGCTTCCCAGATTCTATCGTAAGGATCAACTGGATATCAATGGAGATCAATGAGCTATGTTGTGAGAGACGTTGCTGTGATTTTTGGCTTGGCGAAGAAGAAGAAGAGCGAAGAAGGGTTTTTTTTTTTTTTTTTCTTTTTTAAAGTATGGATAGGCGTCTATTCCTAATGGACGCCTATCCAAATGTAAGAGACCCAAAGGAATGGATCCGCACCAAATTACATAGAAAATTCTGTCCGCCTAGCTCATTTATATAATATGGTTGCCGAAAAATTCATTTACGAGATCGATGAAGAATCATTATGATTAAGGGGAAAAAGAGAAACACAATGCAATCAGTGTTTCTATTTCTAAAAAGGGAGAACGACTGTTTCCCACCTAAGGTTTGGCAAAACGACCCTTTTCCACCCATCAAGTTTTAAAAACAACACTTTCTCACCCACCGTTATATTCTGTTAGAAATAACCATTCTTAAGAAGGGCAAGATGGTGAATTTACTTAAAAGCCTCATTGATCCAAATTTTAAAATCGAAATCTTAGTCCGGTAGCTTTTTTCTTTCTTTTTTCTTCTCTTTTCCTTTCCTTCTCTTTCTGTTTTTTCCTTTTTCTTTTTTTCTTATCTTTTCTTAGCCATCATCTCCTTCTTGGCTTCTTCTACATTGGAGGTTGCGACGCCGACGTAACCTGTAACTGCCGGCTGGGCTGGCGGCGTCACAACCTTCAGCACGAGCCGGCCTCCTACTTATGCCACAGCCGGCCTCTCTCGCCACCTCCGGCGACTTTGCCCGCCTCCCTCACCAGCTTTTCATCACCTCAAACCCATTCTACTGACCTCTCCAACGAGCTGCCGCCTCAAAGACCTGCTTTCTCCTTCGCAGTTGCAGCCACCTGCAACTACGAGCAGCCGCATCCAGATTCCAGCCCCCCCGCTATCTGCTGCCACCTCCATCTGCCTCATCGTCCCCCACCGGTCGCTCCCCGTCATCTCACACCCCTTACCCTGCCTTTGTCGCCACTGTTTGCAGAAGTTTGTGTTTGATGGTGGAAAGTGGATTGTTTGGTTGATTTTGTGGACTTGGATTTGGTTTTGAAGTGTTGTTTTTTTATTTCTACTTTGAAGAAGATTTGGGTGATTTCTGCTATGTCAAACCCCTTCGCATAATTACCTTGCTAAGTCGCCCACCACCCGTTTTACAAAAAACCCCACCCAGCGCCCACTGCGCAAACCATAACTCGCATAAGAGAGCGAGAAACCAAGCAAGTCCATGATTGTTGAGAGGCAGGAGACGATAGACTAAAAGACAAAGGAGAAGGAACAAGAGAGCGACATCTACAGCTCTTTGGTGTGTGTTTTTGGGAAAAAAAAACTTTTTCAAATAGAGGCAAAGAAATTATTGGATTGGGCATGGGGAAGATACGAAGTGCTTGCTTCGCCGGTCGCGTGACCTTGTTCATGGCTATAGATATTTATATTGAAGTTGTCCCAAAAATTATGGAAAAAGGAACTGTGTGAGTTGCATGAATTATATAGTGGTTATTAGATGTTGCTCCATAGCAAATGTCAGTCTTTGCTTATTAAAAGTTAATTTTTCTGATCTCACCCTCACTTTCTCCCCAAATCTTCACACTCGTACATCCACCAATTCAAGCTTCTTCTCTCTTAGTTCCATCATCCATGGCTTCTTTTTCAAGGCACAAGCTCATTTTTCCGGCACCTTCTCTGGTGGAGTTTGAGGGTCCGGCTATTGCTCCACCAAGCGGTGCTTCAAGCTTGAAGAGTGGTTTGCTGGTTGTATTAGCTGTTCTAGATTAGGGGTTGTTTTAACTGAAATGGCCGGCCAGCTTGGATGTTGGACAGATTAGGAGATTTTGTTTAATTGTTTAGGGGAATCGAATTATTTCATTCTTTTTCCTTTTCTTGTTATATTATGTTAGTCCTTGGTTGGGATTTATGGTAATATATTAAATTCAGAGCGCCAAAAAAAAAAAAAAAAAAAAGTTAATTTTTATGTTGTTCATTCTTGTTGGATATGGTTTAAAGACTCGATGAAAAAGCAACATTTATTTTATAAGTGTCTAACCAGGTTGCAATGTTCAAGTTCTGTGACTAAGTTATATTAAGTTTTATGTTGATTACATTCTTTTTGGTGTACCAGTTAGATCCTGTGGTGGAAGTTGGTATCGTAGATCTTGTGTTTTTTGAGTTTGTGAAAAAAAAAAATTGTATATAATTTTTTTAAATTCCAGTAAAACATTATTTTTAATAAAAAAATTAGAGGGTTTAATTGATAATTTAGATTCCTTTACATAGTTAAGTGCATATCAATAATTTCATAGTTAAAGAGCGGATATATTGATAATTGAATCTTGTGATATGACATAAAATAATAAAAAAAATATTAAATCAAATCCTAAAGGATATTTTCGTCTTTGCAACCAAATAGTGACTGATTTTTCTAACGGAACATAACAGTGGATGGGAAAGTGTCGTTTTGAAATTTAATGGGTGGGAAAGTGTCGGCTTGCCAAACCTTGGGTGAGAAAATGTCGTGCTCCCTTCTAAAAATTAATATCATCCCAAAGATTAATTAAAGAATTTTATAGTATTATTGATTTTAAATTATGGTATTATGTAATCAAAATTAATCACAAAATTAAGAATCTATATCATTTCCTCATAACCATTCATATCATTTCCAAGATCAATATCAATATTTATATTTCCACTTGTATTATTATTATGCAAAATGGGCAACACATGTTCCTCTTCATTTTCTCAATGCAAAATGAGTAAATTTTAACAGGTTTTAGTAAACGAGGTTGGATGACCCGAATCCAACCCTAAAATTTTTTGGGCCTTTAGCTCAAATTAATAAAGTTGTAGCGATTTGTATAGATATTTTTTTAAGGATAAAAATGAATACTTATCGTATCGTATGACCTAGTTAGTAAAAACGCGTATTATACGCGAATTATACGGACAGTCGTATAATTCGCGTATTCAAATTTTGTAAAATCTGCCGTATAATTCACGTATAGTAAGGTGTACCGTATAATTCGCGTATAATTCGTGAATAATTGAAAAAAAAAATATAACCTCACACCCCCAAAACGACGTCGTTTTGGTGGGTTTATACAAAAAATTAAAACAGAAACAGATCTGGTTCACACTTCACTGGTTCAGTTTCAGTCGTTCTTCTTCAAATCTTCGGTAGTTCAGCAGCAGTTCTTCTTCCTCAGTTCAGTTCTTCTTCAGCTTTTCTTCCTTTGTTCTTCATGTTTTCAGCTTTCTTCATCTCTTATTCTCTTCTTCCAGGCTTCAACTTCAAGTTCGGGACTTCAAAGGTACACACTTTACACTTGTATCATTTTGGTTCAGCGTGAGTTCTTCATGGAGAGGAAGAGAAGTATGAAGAGTGTGTTTCGTTTTGGAGAATGAGAGTTTCAGAGAGTGTGCGAAGTGTGAGTGTTTGTTTAGAGAGAAAAAAAAGTTTTTTAATATATCGGAAGAGAAACAGTGTGGGGGAGAGTGAAAGAGAAAGAGAAACTAATCTTTAACTAAATTAGGAAAAGGAGAAAGAGAGTAAACAAATGAAATAATTGAATATTGATTATTGATTATTACTAATAGATACGGTGTCGTATCATTTTCTATCAGAGTATCAGGTTGTAAATAGTCAAATTTCAATACAGAAAAATAGGAATTTTTTAATCCTTTTAATTAAACCCTCACTTCATGTATGTGTTTGGTAGAATTCAAAAACTTGATAAATGAAAATAAATTATATTGACCCTTCATGACTTAATTTAAAAACTTTGGTTAATTTATATTTTATAGGAATTTTTAATTAAAAATTATTTATTGTGTATTTGTGTTATTGGTTAATTAAATACTTTGCATTTGATCAGGTATTTGATGATGTTCTCTACTTCTCTTTTATGTTCTTGTAAATACAGTCAAATTGAATACTTTTGTATTTGAAATGTTATGTTGATTTTAACGAGGTAGTCCATAAAAGTGTTAAAACTAAGATTGATATTGCCTTATTTTTCAAAACATATTATTGACAATATACCGTATCAAACCCGTATATACCCGTACCGTATTTTTCCCGTATCCGAATTTTATGGCCGAATTTTTATAAACGTATTTTTCATCATTTACCGTATTATACCCGTATAATTCCCGTACCCGTATTAACTAACTAGGTCGTATGATACATATTAGTGTATCAAAAAGTATAGAATACATTCTCTGATACGTATCGTTGGTAACTCATATCGCATCGTATCGTGGAATACATATCGTGTATCGTAAGATACTAATAACTATGCTTGGAACGACTTACCATTCCTATAAATATCATTGTTTTAAAACCCAAACCAGACCAATCGATTTGATCAATTCAATCGAGAACTAGACTCTTATCCAATCAAAGTATATTCTAAACACAATTATAGTAGTTGAATCGGATTGACTCAAGGTTAAACTGACAGATTAGTGCCGAATTGACGGTTCAACCATCGGGTTAGAGAACTGGTGGCTAAACTAGAATCCTAATTCCTAAAACTAAAATCCCTAAATTCTATTCTTCAATTTCTTATCTTCATCTTCAATTTCAATTTTCAGTTCTTGATTTTCACTCCTTTGAATATTCTAATCTTCAATTTCATTTATGTTATATTGTTATTTAGATTTTGCATATGGACGGAATTATTTTAGAAATTTATTAGAATTATAAAATCACGTCATGTTGACATCATCGATCTGACTGGTTATTCGAAGAAGCAAAACTTTTACGTTGCTTAAATTACCGAGGGTGGGAAGAATAATGCCAGTGAGTTGATTTTTGCTTAACCATAGATGGGAAAGGAACTTCAAATTTCCTACCTCCTCAGGAATGGAGCCATTTAATTGATTCTCAGCTAGATGAAAGACATCCAAATGTAATAGGAGGCCAATTTCTGGTGGGATTTTCCCAGAAAACTGATTATTCGACAAATGAAGGTACTGGAGTTTGGAGAGGTTTCCAATTTGAGGTGGAATGGTGCCAAACAGGTGGTTACTGCTAAGATCAAGATAAGCAAGATGCGGAAACGAAGAGAACAAAAATGAGTGAAGCTTACCTTCTAAGCTTGGATTAATGAGCTGAATACTTTTGATATTTCCCTCATGAATTCCTGACCAACTACATGGGCTAATTTCGGTCGCATTTGCAGGAGAAAGGGTCCAGGATGGCAAGAGAGAACGCTTCCAGTTTTCAAGACTGGCTTTCCATATGATAAGAGCATGTGCTTCTTCCCTAGAATCAGAAGCAACATGGAGTAAAGAATGTGACACAGCAAACAGAACCAGCAAGACAAGTTGGAACTCCATTGTTATGTTATTTACTGCCAAATCTGTGAGTTTTAAACTCACTTTTTAGTTTGAAAAGTCAAAGAAGATGGCTGAGTTCTTTGCTTTATTTACTGAAGCTTACCTAACATGAGGCTGTATAGCTATTTGTTTACCCATTACCATCAGTAAGATTATTTGTTCACCCATTAGTAAGATTTAGCGGTGCGCATTGGTAAAGGGTTGAACCGAAACCCGCGGGCATTCATTTCGGGTAGGAGCCAAAACTGGCTCCATTAGGATCGAATTCTACTTCTGGAAAATTATAGAAAAGGGAATTCCTGAATCTGGTTCAGTCTCTACAATGCTGGATATGAAACTGAAACTAGAACTAGAACCAAGGTCTGGATATCCATGTAAGAATTATGGTTGAATTGTAATTAACCAAGGTCAAGAGCTAGAGAAAAATTTAACTCTCCAGACATCTCAAGTTTACATTTAACAAGATGACCTTAAAAACCTTTTTGATTTTTTTTTAAATTTAGAAAAACTGACGTGACACTTATTATTCATTAAACTTGTAAAATGGATTAAACTAAAAAAATTTACTTTTTGGGTGAGAAAGTATCATCAAGGCAAACCTTTGGTGGGAAAAAGTCGTTTGCTCTTTTAAATAATATCTCCTGATTTTTATTTATATATTTGTGTAAAACTTTATTTTAAACTATATGAGATAACTAGTGAAGATATTTAACTTCTTTTATTATTTATTTATATATTGGGCCAGATATATGCTAGCTGACCTTTAGTAAATAGTAACAGAAAAATGGTCAAAAAGTTTGGCAGTCGGTGCATTGAAGATAAACACCACAAAGCCTGTGTATGGGGATGGGCAGGCCATATCACTGACAAAGCAGGAGAACCCAATTGACTTTTTACAACATTTCTCAAAGTGGTCCCATTAATTCTTCACAATTCAGCACTTTCAATCTATCCTATCAGTGAATGTGATGCAAGTTGCCGCCATGCATGCCGCTTGATAACTGCATCATGGACAGCCTGGTAAAAGACAAATGACAGAGTAGAATAGTACATAATTCTCGTCATTCTCTCAAGTCTCAACTCCACTTGAAGAGGTGGATAACGATATTACAAACTAACTCCTAAAATATGGAGAAGATATGATTCGATTTCATATATACTTGTTATTGGGTCCCAAAAAATCTACCATAGATATTACACCACTCCATACTCCATAGTTGGATTGTCCTATGTATTAACACTTGGACACTATTGTCTTCTTTCTTTATATTATTTTAATTTTAACAAAAATTTGGCTTCTCGAAACCTGAAGTGTTAATATATACAAACAGCTAGGGTGTTGGAGACATGGAGTCTCACAAGCCAGCTAGCCAGTTTTCCTCCCGCAGTGCATAAGTTCACTTATCATTAGAAAGCTGGATCATTGCAAAGACTTGTATTTCTTCACAATATCCTCACCTATTAAAGGCTATTGGTCCAGTGATCCAACAGTAACACATGCTATGCTCTTTAATGAGCTTCATTCTGTTCTGATATTCTTGTGATCTTCATTACTTAATGCCTTGAATACCATTAGTTTTCTTGCATGCATGTACTGAAAGCCATGTATAAATGTAGCTTCAAGCTTGGATCTTAGCCATAGATACATGTAGCTGAAGAAGAGACATATCGATGAAGTTACAGTGTGAGGTTTGTGAGAAGGCAGAGGCAGAGGTGCTGTGTTGTGCAGATGAAGCTGTATTATGTCGACGATGCGATGAGAAGGTGCATGCAGCGAACAAGCTATCCAGAATTACTGACCCATGAAATTTCGTAATAATTAATTGTCGTAACTGACTTGAGTAATAAATTCTAATTTCTAATAAGTTCGTTTATTTATTAACACATCAAAAGACTTTTTAAAGATCACGGTATCAATTAAGTAGATAGTAGTCACTTTCAATAGATTTCAGTAAGCATCTTTCAACGGTAACACGTTTAGTTAATTTAGGAGGCGTTTGGTTTCGAGGGAAAGAAAGATTATTAGGGTTATGTCAACCTTATATTACTTTATTACTATTTTTTGTTCTAATAATATAAGATTTAAGTAATCTTAGATTACCAATAGTTATTATTGTTGGTAATATTTAAGGTAATCTAATTACTTTTATTTTTTTAGGTATGGTAAGACTACTAAAGTAATTTTATTTTTGTTATAATTTTATCCCTTATTAATAAAAATTTGGGATAATAATGTTCCTATTTTAAAATAAATTTATATTAATATATCATTTAAATTTTATCCTTGTTTAACTAAATTTTTAGATAATAATACCCTTATATTTAAAATAATTTACAGACTACCACTGTCACCCAGCCACCACCGTCGACAGTGGGCCAACCACCACTGATCGCCGCTGGAAAGTCATTGAAGTCTCTAAAAAAGACCGAGATTCTGTGGGAGGCTTCAATATGACCATTTTTGGCCATATTGATGACTGAAAACTGCCATATCAGGCCGTTAACGATCAGATCTATTCTGGCCAGAATAGACATGGTCCTTAACGACAAGATCCATGACCATTAACAGCCAGATTTCGCCAAGATCTAGTCGATAATGGCCAAGGATCTGGTCGTTAATGACTAAATCTGACTTGTTATAGCTGTTTTCGACCATCAATATGGCTAAAATAGCCATATCGAAGCTTCATGGTCACGGTGAGCTACTCACGGCGACTTTCGGAGATTTCTAACGGTGGTTTGCGGTGGCAGCAAGGGTAGGGGTGATTTCGTTATAAACTAAAATTTTATATAAGCGGGATGTTTTAGTTAAATCTAAAATATTAGAGATTAAAAAAATTATTCAAAAATTAATAATAAAAATAATATTATATTAATATTTAAAAAGAGAACAATTTAGTAACTTAATCCCTAACTAAATATATTAATATAACATACACCCTAACTAATTAAACACATTTTTCTAAAGTTTTACGCTAATTTTCAAGTAATATAACATTATATCCAAACGCTGCTTTACAGTAATCAATACTTAGTAGGATTTGACACAAAGGTCAAAAGGATTGCCTACTGGACATTACTTTATCACCTATTTTTATGGACCCGAATATGATTCGCTTCTCATTACTTTTGGCAAATGACATGAAAAGTCGACCCCATTACATTATTGCTTTTCATATTGGTTTCATGTTTACTCGTGGAGGGTTTCTGATTTCCCCAGAATCTCAGTTGCTAGTTTTATAATTAAAGTCCTGTACTGTACCCGAAAAATTCTGTAAGAACATGGCCGCTTCTTCTTCTGCACCTTCAAACAGTAATGGTGAATGGAAGTATGATGTATTCCTCAGCTTTAGAGGTGAAGACACTCGCAATAATTTTACGAGCCATCTTTATGCCGCTTTGTCTAGGAAAAAAATCGAAACCTTCAAGATTATGCAGCTAGGGAGAGGATGAAATCTCTCCTGCACTCTTAAAAGCAATCGAAGAGTCTAGCCTTTCGATAGTAATCTCTCCGAAAACTATGCTTCTTCTTCTTGGTGTTTGGATGAACTTGAGAAGATAATTGAATGCAAGACAAAAAGGGCGATCATTGTACCAGTTTTTTATCATGTTATTCTTCTGATGTAAGGAAACAATCGGGGAGCTATGCAAAAGCATTTGCTAACATGAAAAACAATTGAAGAAAACAAAAGACAAGGTGAAAAGTTGGGCAACTTTGACACAGGTGGCCAATCTATCCGGTTGCATATACAGCAGCAGTGATGGGTACTCTAATTAATTTTGTTCTCTCTTATCCTTGTATTTCTAGCCATGCTTACTTTGTTTTGGATTTTTACTTTACCATGTTGAGGTCAACAGGACATCAGATCTGATTTTTTTATTCTGTCATTTCAATTAATGAAATGGATTGAGTTCAAGGATTGTGTCTTATGCATGCCAATAGTAAGATGAGTACAGCTTGAAGAGGTTTTCTGTATGCATGCAATTGGAAGAAAGTTTTGAATTGTAAATTTTTTCTAGTCTAATGGGTTTTTGTGTTGGAGTAATTTCTCTTACTCTGTAAACTTCTTGGTTACTTATGACCTTGCCGCGATTGTTACTGTCCGTTGCATATTTTGACTGAAATAATCTCTTGCTAAGTTCTTGTGTAGTAATACCATCGATTTATATTTGTTATCAAGTAATTTGATGCTGTAGTAGTGTCAAGCACCTGCATAGTGTCTTTATCTCTCACTTTTTGATTCCAAAGTGTTCTTCATATCTGGCAGATCAAATCAGAACTTGTGGAAAGCATTGTTAAAGATGTTTTGAAGAAGCTGAATCATATGTCCTCAAGCGATTTTGATGGCTTGATTGGAATTGATCACGCTTAGAAAGAGTTAATCACTATTATGTGTTGGTATGTTAAATGTTCGTTTTGTGTGGAATTTGGGGTATGGGTGGTGTAGGTAAGACCCATTGCACGAGCTTTGTTTGATCGTATCGCCAGTCAATTTGAAGGCTGCTGCTTTCTTGCAAATGTAAGAGAAAATCAGCTAAATATGGATTGAATCGTTTACAAGAAGAAGTTCTTTTCAAAATACTAGAGGATGGATCCAACACAAGTGCTCCTAGTTAGGACTCACTTTACAAAGAACAGACTTCGCCGTAAAAAGGTTCTTATTGTTCTAGATGAGTAGACAATTCACAGCAGTTAAAATTTTTAGCTGGAGATCATAGTTGGTTTGGTCTGGATAGAACATTATAACATCAAGAGATCAACAAGTGCTCAACATGTGTTGATGAAATTTAAAGCTTGAGGATAAATTATCACGAGTCTCTTCAACTCTTCGATTTAAATGCCTTTGAGCAAACATCCTACAAAATTATATGGAGCTGTCAAGTCGGGTGATTATATAGCTCAAGGCATTCCATTGGCTCTTAAAGTTTTGGGTGCTTTCTATTGGAAGGAGTAGCGAGATTGAAAGTGCATTAATAAACTTGAAAAGTATCCGAACATG